TTATTGCAAGAAGCCAACTAAAAGTGTCTATGAATGGAGATTATTTACACAAATATGACAGAACAGTGCACCTGAATACATACTCACAAATTGCTGTGATAATATCTACGTTGAACATGATATCAAATTAGTGACCAAGAACAAATGAATAAATACTATACCCATAAATCTGATATTGTAGAGTCACTAATAGGATATCTGTGTCCATTTGTTTTGCTGTATCTATTTTAAGGTATGAGCAAATGTACATTTCTTTCACTAAATGCTTGTTGTCATGTGACTTGAGGAAAAGAAATAGAATTGTATTTGACAATTTTTTAGGTGTAGAAATCTAACCAATCACATGTTTTTATATAATATTGATTGCAATTAATGTTCTTAATGCAATTGCAGCGATCGCCTGCTTCTGTCATTTACTTAAATTTGCATGTAATGAAATCATCCATGCCAGGAATTTGTTCTTTTCTACATGTCTTCTTCTTTACTTTGTGCAGTTTCAGAATTTCACTCCTTACACCATCTTTTCGGAGCATGGGCAATTATTATACGAGACTTGATGTGCGACTTGTTACGATTTGTGGTTATCCTCAGTATTTTTATCAGTGGATTTACGTTACAACTACATGCAATACATCAACCAGTGTGATACTAGTGTAGAAGGAGATGGTGATGGAAGTGGTGGAGCTGAAGTCCAAACACCTCTGGAGACATTGATACTACTTTTCTTTTCATTGTTCGGACTAGTGTAACCAGACAATTTACCTCCTGTGCATAGGAATCCCTACATCATGCTGATGTTAGTTAAGATGGTTTTTGGCACCTAACTTATAATGACTTTAATTGTGTTGATCATCTTGTTGATTGCTATGATGAGTGACACTTATCAAAGGATCCAAGCACAATCTGATACAGAGTGGAAATTTGGACGTGCTCAACTGATACGTAATATGAACAGAACGTCAGCCACGCCAGCTTCTCTGGATCTATTTACCAAGCTGGTTACCTACTGTAAAGTTGCCTTAAACATAAAGGTATGTCTTAAACACTTTTATCACCTTTTTTAGTACCCGTTCGGCACAGTCCGAAAACGGAGACTTTGACCTCTGTGCGTTCGTGTGTCCATGTGTGCATGCATGGACCTATATTCTAGACATGCCTGGACCGATTACATTCAAACTTTGTACATACATCATACATAATATTATACATATGCACATCAATTTGTTTCACGATCTGATTGAAGATGGCTGAATGGTGGCCATTTTTGTGCTGAAAAATCATCTAAATCAAGCATTTATAGATGGATTTTTTTCAAACTTGGTACATTAGTTGGACATTATGGGACCTTGATACACGTTATTTTGTTTTTCAAATCGGTGATTGGCGGCCATATTGTTTTAATGAATGCAGTTTTAGTGCCATATCTCTGCCAAGCTTTGACTGATTATGTTCAAATTATATATATTCATTATAGATCATGTCATAAATGTACAGATATACTCGTTTGACTATCTGATTCAAAATGGCTAAGTAGCGCCTGTTTTTGTGCTAAAAAATCATCAACAATAAAGGATTTCTGGCATTGTGGAACCGGATCTTGATTGTTTATGGATTTTGTTCAAACTTGGTACATACATTTTTTTTTTCAAATCTGATTCATAATGGCTGACTGGCGGCCATTTTGTTTAAATGAATATTGTTCTAGAGCCGTATCTCTGACATGATTTGACTGATTATGTTAAAATTTTATATATTCATTATAGATTATGTTTAATTAATGCTGTTCCACGGCAATATCTCTTAATATGGACAAGTACTCGTTTGACGATCAGATACAAGATGACTGAATGTCAATCATTTTAATTTTAAAAAATCACCATAAACAAGCTTCTGGATCTATATCTCTGACATGTTTATATTTGAACTATAAACAAAATTATGTATTTAAGTTTGATATCTAATTCTCTAATTTTGGTGAATATTTTTGGTAAAAAGTGATATTTTTGACATCTTGTTAAAAGCCACAAATCTGATTGATTTGATATTATACATAATGGTACTACAGGGAGACCTTTTCTCAGATTTGTTCATTTTGTGATGGAGATGCTGAATTTGAGTTACAGACATTGAGTTATGAATATCAAGTTATGAAAACATTGAGTTACAGAAATTACCATGCCATATTACAATTTGGGCATAGTTTCACAAATTAAAGTGTACGTGGTTTCAAAAATATGGGCGTGATCATTTCTCAATGTTTTCGTAACTTGAACAATTCAGCATCTCTTTGTGATTATATCTTCAATTCTTTAATTGAAATGTGCATTTCTAACAGCAGAGCTATCTCAGCCAAGAGGCTGCTTGTTTTAGAAATGTACCACATGCACACAAGTTATTGTATTTTTCATTGTATATGTATATTTTTGTGATTTTTCTTTGATTTCATCATCAGGTAAGATTTGTAGCAATCAGGCACGGGAATTTATAAATGAAGAAGAAGAGTTAGATGCTGTGTCTGATTCCAGATCTGTTGATTTATTGGCGCATTCCACTGCCCAGTGGTTACGTAGTGTTGTTAGGAGAAATACACAAGTAGCACCAGAAGGTAAGATGTCTATGCAATAATAGAGTACAAAATTACAGTACTTCCTGTCATAGGTCCAGGTGCATCAACATGTTAAATTGGGGAAAGTAAGGGGTGGGTGTATACCAAGATATTTTTTACATTCTCAACAAATTATCCACAAAACCATTTTCATTCACCTTGCCTGATTAGGGGGGGGGATTATGTGGTTTTTGGGAAGTCTGCTGATATTTTCTTGCCAAAATTTGCTTAGATGTGATTATACTATTATTTTTAGAAACTTTTATACTAATCCTGTTATATTAAATGTTAAGAGGTATTATTGCCTCGTTTCTGGACTTTTATACTCACTTTTGCCATGCAAAGAAAAGATTGTGCTTCATTTGTTTGTATCCTTCCATTTGTTATTTAGCTTGTAATGTGGGATTTTTTTAAATAAATAATTATTGATATCAAATAAAACAAAATAAATTAAAGTTTATTATATTTTAATCATAATGTATAAGTTAAAGTATTGTGCTGGTAAGGGACAGTGTACAGTAGTTGAATACTTTCTGTTGTCTTTTACAGGAGGGTTCCTTAGAGCAGGAAATACCCATGGACCACAGCGAATTGAAGAGGTTGTAGAGTGGGAAAGTGTTGTACAACGTTATCAAGCTGTGCATTTAACGTCAGATGACGATTTTGAGGCTGATAAAGAAAAAACACGATTTGAAGATTTAGATAATCCCACAACTGTTATGATGACAATGGAGACAAAGAAAGAGAAATCAAACAACCACATTACATGATGAGTGTACCCAGAATGCATCTGTTTCCAACTGGGGTGCTTCCATTAATTTGACATGCTATATATTAATGAACCATGACTTTGTTTTGTCAGTGAGTTTTCTGATGTACATGCTTTGCTTAGAGGCTTTCATTTCTGTGTTGGTTTTTGACATCAACAGTTATTATTTACATCAGATTTATGACAGATATAACCCCTACAATGTACTATGCATATTTGTGTTGATTTGAGTTTACCAACACTTTACACTTTAATGTCACTGTAGGACTCTTGGTGCACAACAAACACAATATGGAAAATATCATATTAGAATGGTCTTACTAGTGTTTTGATGTAAAAACCTTGCTTTGTATTGTATTGTACAGCCAGCACATGCCATTTTATATTGAAATAAGATTATTACCTTGCCTGTACCATCAAAGATGGAAGGGAAAGGTATATTAAGGGAAAAATTTTGTCCGGCGTTGTTGTTGTTGTCGCTGTCGTCGTCGTCGTCGTTAATAATTGTTATTGTGTGCATAATAACTTTACTAATTCTATTCCAAACTTTATCAAACTTGATCACCTTATTCATCAGTATAAAGTCTTCTCTGAGTTTGAACAACAGATGTCCCGTATGAAAATATCATGCAAAAATTGAGAAAATCTGATAAAATATTTTGTATCAAAGGTCACTGATCTCAGTGGAAATATGCATTGTTGTATGTGTTCAATGAAGCAAATGATTTATCTTGTAATAATATCTTTGGTAATGTATCTCAGAATCCCATACTGGGTTTCAAAACCAACTCATGGAGAGATTGCACAGTCTGATACACATTTGCAAAACTACCAATAAAATCTTTACAGAAAACAAGATGTCAGAAAATCAATATAAGCACTCCTATAAACTGGGTGCCTAACTTTGATCAAGATCTGAAGCTAATAGAAAATCTGTTTAGTTCAAAGTTATCAATACATAAAAAATACATTAAAAGCAAAACATTTCATCCACATTTTAAAAAGAAAATTATTCTAAAATATATGTATTCTGTATTTGACAAATGAAAACTCACAGGAATATGTTTCAGCTATTAGAACAGAATGATAGAGTTTTTATAATACTAGTTTAAAAACGCACTTCAAAGATTGCAGTGTTTGAAGATGTAGATTCTCAGGAGGCAACAGTACTGTTGACTTCTCCCTCCACTGGACACCAACTAACTATTTAAGTTGATTTGCATACAAAGCAGAGCTTGCAAGATGATAGCTATTCATAAAGGGTGTTTTTTTTACTTTTCATATAATACAGTAGTCACACAATGAGGCAGTTCATATTTGTCTCAGTGAATCATTAATTTTTGACAGACACCTGTACAAAATACTTGGACTAAAGCCAGCTAAAATTTTCTGTTATCTTGCAT